TAACTGTATAATAAAGATATGAGCCATGTTCAAGAAGTCATGGATTGAGTTTGGTAGTTCACTGGTAATCAGAAAATAAACAATCAAAACTGTGTGCTTGTTTCTATTCATTTAAGTCAATAATTACAGTGCATTAGCTCAACAGTTGATCTATTGGTAAATACTTTTAGCTGAAATTTCAAGTAATATAAAATCAATACTGACCTTAAGTGAAGTTTCCTTGTGATCAGAAATAGAAATTGAAGTCGGCAACATGTAAACAGAAACTTGACATAGTGTGCTTACAAAAATAACATGTGGGGGTGAGTGATTGGCAGATAATGGATAACGTGTGCGTTACTTGCATGAAAATACAGTAGTCATTTCCTTTAGCATCATCATACCGCCATGTAAATATCTGTAGGACCCATGTATTGCAGGTATTACAGCAGCCACTCTCTCAACTGACCTCCATTTAACTGCATCTTGGGATTAAGCAATATCAAAAAAAAAAAAAAAAAAAAAAACCCAAACCAAACTCACTGCTGTGGAGTTGGATCTCACTCATAGCGGTCCCTCCTTGGGTTTCCGAGGAGGTATTGTTATGGAAGTAGATTGCCCAACCTTCCTTCTAAGGAGTGGCTGGTGGGTTTGAACTGCCAGCCTTCTGGTTAGCAGTCAAATGCCTCAGGCACTACTCTACCAGCGCTCCTACCACGTGGTGAAGGCTGGTGGTTAGTAGTCTCTCTCACTCTCTAGTAAGCCCATGCATTATTCCTCCCATCAGTTGGTCTCTATGGCCTAGAGTTAACCAAAGCTTTTGATGCTACTTGTGCTTGTCAGTTTAAGAATGTAGTTTACTTAAGTATCACATAAACTTACAAGAGTATGAAGGAAAAAGAAAAAGAAGAAAAAGCTCAGTTGAATGCTGTAGATAGACACATACATTCATATACTCAAAAAATTAGGTGTGAGACAACAATGAAAGACTGGCAAAAAGCCTAAAAAATCTAGGAGCAAACTTCAAAATCACTTTATAAGTATCTTTAGTTTCTCGATCCACTTAAAGAAACAGAAACTTACTGGTGTCACATAAAATGATCTGAAACTATAATCAATAAACCAATATATAGAGAAAAGGTCTTGGCCCCACATCAGAACAAATGGGAAATAAAATCATATTTATGGGATTTTAATTTAAATGAAATATTTAAGATATATATATTTCATCTGATTCTATACTTGAGTACCAGTTTTGATTAACTAAGCAATTTCTGTGTCTGTGTTGGATCCAAGGGCTTTTTATAGCACCTGTGCAGATGTCCACCTCCTCCACTAGACGTGAGCTCCATCAGGAGCTGCATTTGAGACAGTAGTCACCGAATGATGACAACAGCATCTTAAGATCTCCATCAGTCTCTCTTTGGAATCTGCCATGAACTAGAGACTCATACCCTCATTATATATGCTTCAGAGTATTTATGATTCGTGTCTATTGAGTATCTACTATTTGCCAGGCCTTGTTGTACAAGTGTTCTACATTTGCATGTCAAGGTGAATACAGTGAATACAAGGCAGTGAATCCAAAATGATGAATTCAATGTACTATGACTCTCCTACCCTGTATTTTCTAATTTCATAGATGACATATCTGTGGACTTTCTCTCTCCATGGATCCTAACAAATTGTGGATAATACTGTGAAGAACTTAAATTCCAGAACACTTAATTGTGCTTGTGAGAAACCTGTACATAGACCAAGTTTAAACAGAACAAGGGAATCCTGGATGGTTTAAAATCAATCAACGTGTATGTCAAGGTTGTATCCTTTCACCATACTTATCCAGTTGGTATGCTGAGCAAACAGTCAGAGAAGCCAGACTGCAGGAAGAAGAATGCAGCATCAGGATCGGGGGAAGAATCATTAACAATCTGTAATATGCAGAGGACACAACCTTGCTTGCGAAAAGTGAAGAAGACTTGAAGCACTTATTGGTGAAGATCAAAGGCCTTCAGCATGGATTACACCTCAACATAAAGAAAAGAAAAATCCTCCCAACTGGACCAATAAGGAACATCACAATAAATGGACAAAAAATTGAATTTGTCAAGGATTTCATTTGATTCATATCCACCATCAATGCCCATGGAAGCAGCAGTCAAGAAATCAAATGATATACTGCACTGGGCAAATCTGCTGCAAAACACCTCTTCAAAGTGTTTAAGAGTAAAGATGTCACTTTGAAGATTAAGGTGTACCTGGCCTAAGCCATGATCCTTGCAATAGCCTCAGATGCACGTGAGACCTGGACAACAAATAAGGAAGACCAAAGAAGAACTGATGCATTTGAACTGTAGTGTTGCTGAAGAATACTGAATGTCCTATGGACTGCTAGAAGAATGAACAAACCTGTCTTGGAGCAAGTATAGCCAGAAGTGAGAATGGCCAGACTTCATCTGTCATACTTCGGTCATGTTGTCAGAGGGGACAAGTTCTGGAGAAGGACATCACACTGGGTGAAGTAGAGGGCCAGTGAAAAAGAGGGTGATCCTCAGTGAGGCTGCTTGACACGGCGGCTGTAACAATGGCTCAAGCATGGCAATGCGTGTGAGAATGCCCCAGGACTGGGCAGCGTTTCGTTCTGTTGGACACAGGGTTACCCTGCATTGCACTGACTCAACAGTACCTAACAACAACCTGTTGACAGAGTAGGACTGCATCCATATCTATCTGTCTGTCTATGTTTCTGCAGATACAGATCTGGTTATATAGATACAGATATTTATACTTTCATTCTTTTGATGTGTTGAGGGGAAAAAGCAAATGGCTAGGAAGGAAATTGAATGGTATTGATAAATTCAGATGAAATGATGTGAAATTTGAGAATCAAAATGAGTATCAGCATACCTAATGCTTTTTGCAGGAGCTCTGGTAGCGTAGTACCTAAGGCACTTGACTGCTAACCAGAAGGCTAGAGGTTCAAACCCACCAGCCACTCCTCGGCAGGAATGTTGAGCAATCTACTTCCACGGTGATACTGCCTCGGAAACCCAAGGAGGGGTTGCTATGAGTCAGTCTGACTCGACGGCACACAGCAAGAACAACAACAAATGCTTTTTGCAAGGATTCGGAAATGCTTATAATGACTGCTGGATTTATATATAGCAAAACTCTTTGCCTAATTATTCCCAATTACAGATATCAGTAAGGATTTAATCTTCTTTCTTGATATAAAAATCTTGAATACTGCCCTTCTGGTAGCATAA